CACGAGAACAAGAACATCAATTACAGTTAATGAAGACAGAATCACAAGAAACATACCTGCAACTGCTAATGAAGATGATGAAGCCATATTGGCCTCTTAACAATTAACCTTCTCCTCTTTAACAATAACCAGTACGCTCTCTGATAATAGGTCTAAGATCAATATGGGCCGTGTATTGTAAGAGCAGTAGGCAGTGTTTATATACTCACTATAATCCTTACTGTTCTCCTACTAGAATCATTATAGGACTCAATTATCTATTCCATATGTATAAACACAATCTCAATCCACATTCAAGTCACCAATACTCAAACCGTCATAAGCAGTGGCGGATCCACAGTGGAGGTCAATGGGGTCGCACGACCCCTTGGAAGCCATGGAAACAACCTTAGAGACCCCTTGGAGCTGCTGGTGTGACCCCTTGGCTGCACACCAAGTGTTCAACGAAAGGTCTGAAAGAACTCGGCTGGGCTGGTTGAAGACGAAGGCGCGTGTGCCTGTTTTTTTTTTTTTTAAACAACCTGGCCAAAACGACGTCGTTTTGGCCCAGGTCTGAACAAAAAAAAATGCCCAGCGTGTCCTGGGCAGGTCTGAACAAAAAAAAAAGCCCAGCGTGTCCTTTTCAGCCCTATTTCACACAGATCCGAAGCCATTCATTCCAAAACCCCCAAATTTCTTTTGTTTTCTCCTCCTCCAACCCTAAGTTCCAAACTCAATCCCCCCCAAACCCTCAACTCCATCTCCTTCCTTGCTGCCGCCATTAAGGTGCATTTGTGCTGCCGTCATCGTCACTGTGGTGGTGGTGCCACCAGCTTTGCTCTTTGTATTTGCTCATTGTTATTGTGAAATTTCACAATTCAAGTAAGTTCTAAACCCTATGTATGATATATTTAATTTAATTGAAACCTAATTCATATTTATTTTGATTATATTGGTGGTTTGTTTATATTGTGAGTATTTATTTTGAATATTTTGTATATGTAGAATATATTTAATTTAATTAAAATTCAATTCATATTTATTTTTATTATATTGATGGTTTGTTTATATTGTGAGTTTTTATTTTCATTATTTTGTATATGTAGAATGCAAGATGAGATATTTAATTTAATTGAAATCCAATTCATACTTATTTTGATTATGTTGATGGTTTGTTTATATTGTGAGTATTTATTTTGAATATTTTGTATATGTAGAATTATTATGGAACGATTTTTTAAGAGAAAGTCATCATCGGGTTCGGGTAGTTCGAATAATGTTGATAGTTCCAATACTGTTGGTAGTTCAAGAACTCCAAGTTCAAGACAAAGGCAGTTAGATGATGTTTTGGGTAATCTTGAAGCGGATCCTGGATTGAGAACTCGAATAATAGATTATAATGCTAGTATGAGAGATGAGGTCCGAATATCATATCTACAAAAAGGACCTTGTCAACCTAGAGGTCATAATTTCCCAATAACTAATATGTCGGGAATTAATCGACGCTTCATTCCCCAATGGTTTGATGAGTTTGATTGGTTGGAGTATAGTATATCTAAAGATGCGGCATTTTGTCTCTATTGCTATCTCTTTAAAACCAATTTTGCACAAGTGGGTAGTGAAGCTTTCACTGGAGATGGATTTAAGACTTGGAAGAAAGGGAGAGAAAGATTTAAGATGCATGTTGGACCGGTTGGGAGTGTTCATAATAAGGCTAGAGAAGCTGCTACAAATTTGATGAATCAAGCTACACATATTGAAACGGCAGTGAGCAAACATTCCGACTAAGCTCGTAAGGCTTATCGCACATGCTTAAATGCATCAATCAAGTGCACTAAGTTTTTATTGCGACAAGGTCTTCCTTTTCGTGGCCATGATGAAAGTGCCACTTCAAGCAATAGGGGAAATTACTTGGAGCTATTGCAATTCCTTGCAGATAATAATGATAAAGTTAGAGAAGTTGTGATGAAAAATGCTCCGGGGAATCTCAAATTACTAGCTCCTAGCATTCAAAAAGAAATTGTGAATTCATGTGCCCTTGAAACACTTGATGCTATCATGGATGGTCTAAAAGATAAATTCTTTTCAATATTGGTGGATGAAGCACGTGATGTGTCGGTGAAAGAGCAAATGGCTATGGTGTTGCGTTATGTGGATGACAACGGGCATGTAATTGAAAGATTTGTGGGTATCCAACATGTTACCAACACTACTTCAAGTTCACTAAAGGATGCTATTGACACATTATTTTCTCGCAACGGTTTGAGCATTTCCAAGCTACGAGGACAAGGTTATGACGGTGCTAGCAATATGAGAGGTGAGTTGAATGGCCTTAAAACAAAGATATTGAGAGAACAACCTTGTGCATATTATGTTCATTGCTTTGCTCATCAACTTCAACTAGCTCTTGTTGCCGTAGCAAAGAAGATATAAACATTGCCTCTTTTTTTGCAACGGCTAATAGTGTGGTTAATTATGTTGGAGCATCTTGTAAGCGACGTGATTTACTTAGAGGGCAACTTCAAGAAGAGCTTGTAATAGCTTTTGAAAATGATTGTCTTATAACGGGGCGATGCTTAAATCAAGAAACAAGTCTCAAACGTGCCGGTGACACACGATGGAACTCACACTATGGTACCTTGATTAGCATCATTTCCATGTTTTCATCTGTGGTTCATGTGCTTTAAATGGTTATTGATGATAATCCCAATGAAAGTGCGGGTGAAGCAAATAAGTTAATGAGAGAAATACGTACTTTTGAGTTTGTGTTTCATCTTTTCTTGATGAAAGTCATATTGGGACTCACAAATGATTTGTCACAAGCATTGCAAAGGAAATATCAAGAAATTGTGAATGCAATGGCTTTAGTGAAATCATGCAAGGACAAGCTACATTTGATGAGGAATAATGGGGTCGATGCATTGGTTGATGAAGTATCTTCTTTTTGTGAAAACCATTATATTGATGTTCCTAACATGGAAGAGGCATTTATACTTCCAGGGAGGTCAATGCGTAATACTCCAATAAAGACAAATCGTCATCATTATCGTGTGGAGCTCTTTATTTATGTCATTGATGAGCAAATTATGGAGTTAGAGGATCGTTTTAATGAGGTAAATACCGAGTTGCTTATTTGTTTGGCATGTTTGAGTCAGAAAGATTCATTTGTAGTTTTTGATAAACCAAAGTTACTTCGTCTTGCTCAATTTTATCTTCAAGACTTTTCGGATGAGGATCGTTTGGCACTTGAAGATCAACTTGAGATTTATATTCATTATGTGCGTTTCAGTAGCGATATCTCTCAATTGGAAGGGATTGGTGATCTTGCAAAAAAAATGGTGGAGACAAGGATGCATCAAGTATTCAATTATGTATATTTGCTCATTACATTGTCTTTAGTTTTACCAGTTGCAACTGCTTCAGTGGAAAGAGCATTTTCTGTCATGAATATTGTTAAGGGTCCACTTAGGAACAAAATGAGAGATCAATGGTTGAGTGATAGCTTGCTTGTTTATATTGAGAGAGATATTTTTGCTTGTATTGAAAATGAAGCTATAATGCTTCGTTTTCAAAATATGAAACCTCGTCGTGAACAATTATAGCTTGTAATATTGTTTCCGTTATGAATTATGAATGAAAGTACTATGATTTCATTTTCAACATGTTTTTCTTGTTGGTATTTAGACAATCTTTCATCATTAATAAAACTTGAATAAAATGATAAAGATTGAAAATCAAAGAAACAGAGTGCAGAGAGCTTTGGAAACAGAGGGCTGATGCTTTTTTCTTAAAACAGAGATCTTATCTTTTCATTAAGATATTTCTGATATATATGGCTCAATACATAAGCCGATTGAAGTAATTGGGTCGATTGATAAATAGAATGGGTCGACTCATAAATAGAATGGGTCGACTGATAAAGGCAACAGTCAGCCCTTTTACAGAGAATCAGTTTAAGTAAAGCATTAACTTTAACATTACCATCCTAAATTTTTTTTGGACTTTTACACTACGACCCCTTATGGTAAGATTCCTGGCTCCGCCACTGGTCATAAGTACTCTCAATCTTACAAGAATTAGGATTACTTATGGCCTGTAAACTTAGACTTTTCCATATCAATTCATACTCTTCAACTGGACACAATGTCAATTTCATACTCATATTCTAACATGTCAAAGGCAGGTGATATTGGGGATCGGGCTCTTCACAGCAACAGGCACAGTGAGAGTGGCAGCATCCACTTTTTTCCTTCAGAGGGCATTCAACTCCAATCCGATGGGTTTTGGGGTCAGGAGATTTGGTTGCTTTTTCATTGATCAGGAAAGGAACAAAGTCAAACATGTTTGAGTTTTTCGCCCCTTTTGGTTGGATCATGCTAGTAACATAAAGTTATTGTGCTTGTATATGCAGGAAAATAAAATAAGATTGCCAAACTTCTTGGATAATGGTTCATGCATGGTTCATTTAGCTGTTTTTGGCATTCTTGGTGTAACGCACCTGACTTTGTTTCTCACTGTATACCAAAGTGCATTTTTATTTGAATCCCAATACATATTGAGTTCATAGATGTTGTCGCATTCATTTGACAAAATTTGGATTTTCAAATGCTTGTGGAAGAATACAATAGCCATATTCTTGTCTTTACAATTGAGATAACTAGATCTTATCATGAATTACAAAAAAATTTCCTTGCTAAAAATATTATTATTATTATTAAAGAAAACTAATGAAAAGTACTTTAAATATTTGCATTTTGATCAAAAACTATTTACTAACTTTATTTAATGATAAAGATAAAAAAACATTAAAAAATAAACATAAAAACAAAACCACATGTGCTAGCACGCGTACTCCCACCCCACCCCAAACTCTTTTTTTCTGTTGTCTTACGAGTTTTTTTTTTTTTTTTTTTTTTTTTTTTTTTTTTTTCTTATACTCTCCAGCCTCCATCCAACCTTCCCCAGAATTTTCCCAATTCCCCTTCGTGCAGGGTTTTATCTGCAATTTCCAGTTTTTAATCATGCATGATGCACGTCGGGCATCTCTTAGAGTATTTTCACTGAAGAAGAAAGCCCCAATGCTCGTGCAAAAACGTCGGCGTCAAGTGTTGCAGTTTAGCTTGCTTTACTCCACGGCTTTTTTGTGTCAAATCGACCGCTACATCTCCCACAAAAACCCTAAATCTTTTATTTCTTCTTCTTCTTAGAATAAAAGAAAGACTTCAAATTTAATACATTTTCCAGTTTTATTTTTGTAATGTTGTTTCCCACGCCCCCTCCTTTTCCACTATTTTTTCTCCCCGTTGTCTTAAGAGTTCGTTTGTTTTACTTAATAACTAAACACTATTTATGAAACCAGACAAAGAAAGAGACTATTTATGAGACTGGACCCAATATAACTAGGCACTATTTATGAAATATGACCAAGAACCATGCACTACTTATGAAACTGGACCAATAAATAGTGTAGTACTATTTAATTTCATAAATAGCGTTTAGTTTCATAAATGGTGTTTCAGTTTCATAAATCATGTTTCAGTTTCATAAACAGTGTTTCAGTTTCATAAATAGTATTCAATTTCATAAACAGTGTTCAGTTTCATAAATAGTGTTTGTGATGAAAGTCATTTTTTAAAATTTATTATTATTATTATTAAAATTGTGTCATTTTCATTAAAATTTAAGCACATTTGTCCTTTTTATTAAAATTTAAGGGTTTTTCATTAATATTTAAATCATTTTCATTAAATAAAGTTATAACATGGTTTTTGATTAAAATAAACTTCATTCAAGCCATTTTCATTAAAGCTTCCTTATAATATAGTATAGCAAGCGATTTTGGTATTACTTTTTTAACCGCCTAGATTTTGAAATTAATATTTTACCAATTTATGAAAAGCATCACTTAATACTAGGATTTAGTAAAATTCTTTTTACTTGTAAGTGATAAGTTATTTAGAGCATTTATAATGGAGCCCCTGATGGAGTCTCTACAACTGTATAGTCTCTAAATATTGGGACAAAAGGCTTCCAATGGACCGGAATTGAAATCCTCAAGGTATCTCAGTATATAGGGATTTGTCAGATACCTCAAAGAAATTCTCAAATATAAAGACTACATATAGGGACTCAAAAAGTGGACCCCATATTAATTTGAGTTGGAATGCTATTGCTCCTTGTGTTTTGGTCTTTATTTTTTGAACCCACCCACGTGGGACATCTTCCCATTTAATTTATCCCGTATTTTTTTTTTAACAAACTCGGTATTTATCTACACTAAAGGGAATGAAGGTATGCTAAGCCTCATAATGGGCTAGTAATAATATGATTCAAATTTGTTTTTAGAGAGAATAGAGCTTAAGACTTTTCACTTGCAAGTGAAGAGGAATACCACTAAACTGTAGTACTAAGTGACCTCATGTACTTTGTTTTTAATAACTCTTGAAAAATCAATGGCAGAGATAATTTTTTTTTTAATTTTAATCAATGGTCAGAGTACTCCAACAAAAAGAACAATAATTTTTTTAATGATTAGTCCTTGTATTTAGGTATTATACTATAAGGATTTCCCATTGCGAACAATATTCTTTTAGGGATTCGAATATTCCTTAAAAAACCCCTAAATAAGTCCTCAAAGTTAGTGGTGAGACTCCTATTGGAGATGCTCTTAGGCCTTTCACAGCAATACCAATGTATTGAATTCATATAGAAATCACTCCTAGAGTGAGCTAGAAAATTTGAGTGTGTGTTATAGGTATCAATCATAGGCAGTGTTCCAAAAATTAGCCTAGGCGGCCTCCTAGGCGCTAGGCGGTGAAGGCCTTCGAAAAATCAATCTAGAGCTAGGCGGTCCTAGGCGGGCTAAGCAGCACTTAGGCGGTCCTAGGCGGGCTAGTCAGCCTAGGCAGTCCTAGGCGGTTTGTTTGTTTGTTTTTTTTAATTAATTGTGTGCTTTTTTAATTTTTATTTATTTTTATTAATTGTGTGCGTTTTTCTTTTTTAGTTTCATGGTGGTATACTTATAAAAATAATGTACCTATTTTGTAAATGATGGATTGATTACAAGTTCATCCAATTGTGAAATGAATTGGAGCACTTTTGAGAGGATACATACAAAAAAAAGAAATAAACTAAATACTATAAGGTTAAATAATTTAGTCTATGTCCAATCCAATACAAGATCATGAACAAGAAGAATTTAGTCTATCATCCAATAATACTCCTCATTATGATTATATGCTTACTGTCTTTTAAATATTGAACTTGTTGGATGGATGTCCTTTGTGTTATTTTTTGCTTCTATTTTTGTATTTTATCATTCTTTAAAAGTATTTTTTTAAAATGTAAAAATGCACTTATTTACAAAATATACAATAAAATTACATAAATTTACCTTGGCCGCCTACACCTACCCGTTTAGTATATTTTAGAACCTTGATTATAGGTATCAGGCTTAGAATGCCTCACTTTTATATATGGGTATCAGATTCCCCAATTCTAATTTGGAAGGCCTTGTGTAATTTGAAGAGAGCCTGATTTTTGTTTTTCTTTTCTTTTCGAGTAGGTTCAAGTACTGTCAACTATTATTTGGTTGAGCGCGGAAATAAGCCCAGAAGAAAACAAAGACCAGTAATTGTAAGCAAGCACGAAGAAATGAAAGAAGTTTCGATCAAATTAGGTGAATTACGAGAAAATTTCTAATCAAATCCAAAATAAAAAGTTGAAAACCATTGAAATAATTTTATGCGTTTTTCTTGATTGTATTTAACAAACCATTTGGAAAGGTCGGAATATGGGGAAGATGATTGTTGAAGGTTCAACAGGTTGATGAACAACAACTGCCCACCTTCCCCTATTTGATTCGATATTGCAGGGAACTCTTTCGGATCAGAGCGCATTGATTCTAGCACTACGCCGATACACACAATCCCTGCTTTCATTTTTCCTTTCACTAATCTACATAAATCATCACTTCAAAACTAACACATAAACCAACCTTCATAAATATACAAAAACAAATAGACAAGAAAAGTTGCAGAAATTGGTTACACGGCGCGGAGGATGATGAGAGCAAGGCAGCGTGCGCTGTCTATTTATAGGAGGAGGAATACGAAGCATATCACACTAGGGTTTTGTTGCTTTCATTTCCCAAAATTGCCCTTCAAATCCATCACGCGGGCCTTTCATTTTCAGCGAGCCTAAGTCCGGCCCAGATGATTTGCTGAAAATAATATTCCAGCCCACTTGACCCAAATTAGTTCTCACAATTTTTTTTTCTTCAAACAAACGATATTATTATTTATATTAAGAAATGTGGGTAGGCTTAATCTCACGATGGGTTAGTAATAATGTGGTTTGAATTCGCCTTTAGCAAGAATCGAATCTAATCTCACTTACAAGTAAAGAGGAATAATACTAGACCGTAGTATTAAGTGACAAATTAGTTCTTACAATCTATGTATCCCAAGTCATTTCTAGTGACATGAAATTATGACATCATATAACATAAACCTATTGTTCTCTTTATTATAATCTGAAGGTTATACTTAGTAAAATTCATTTGATTTACAGGCGGTTTAGCTGTCTATATATTGCAACAAATAATATTTTCTTTATAAAATGTCAATTTGTTTGATTCATGTAAGCAATTAAGCAACGCCCGAAAGATCAATACATCTTAGTTGAACTCATTGGTGCAATGTGGATTCAAGATTGCCCTAAATACGATAAATATTTTTGCTTATTAAGCCTTACACATTCAATGGTAAAATAAACATTTCAAGTGAAAGGCAACGTTATTACATCAACCCACTTTGATATTGAGAGTATGGTACTGAGCTGAGCCACACAATAATTTGTACTCGTCGTTCACTTGTCTAGAACAAATGTGCAAACATACCCCTAGACTATAGTGCTAGAGTAGCCTAGCCCACTCTTTACAAATCAAAGTTTGCTAAAGTTCATAGCAAACTTTAGTAAACTAGAAAAAAAACTACTAGAATAGAAACTCAAAGAAAATTACAATCTAAATGTCATTTTGTAATATCTAATCTAATTTACCCCCAATTCCAACATCAAATCCTATTTTCTATGCTATAGTACATTCACAAGCTTATTAGTAAATTCACAAGCTCAATTATTCCATGCTATAGTACGATAAAAATTGCAGTTGATAAGATGAATGGTTCCTACCGTCACCGTCATCTTCCATATTGTATTCATCTTCATCATTATCAAAATCAGAGTGCTGCAAGACCATAGTTTCATTAGAAACATTTTGTTTTCCCACACATGGCGAGATCCATCACCTAATCCTACTAGAATCAAGTAAATAACAAGAACGGAAACAAAATTATAAGGGAAACTAAATTAAAATAGCCCTTGTTCATTCTGCACCAACATGCCTTCTAGTTCCGAACTTGAATATTCGTGAATAGAACTTCTAACAAAACAAGTGATTACTTGTAAATAAATAAATAAATAAATCTAATAAATATATAAAACCCACTATTTCCTTTACGAACCTTGTAATAATCATCATCACTAAAGTCGTCGTCCTCTGGTTCCTCCTCCTCTTCATTTTTATCTTCATCCTCACCTTCACCTTCTTTCTTTTATTTTGCATCATTTTGGCCCTACAAAGGAGAAACGTTATCAACAAAAAAAGTTAATGCATACAAAAATTAAACTACCAATGACAAGACAAAATCTTCAAACCACAAATAATGTTAAGGTTTTGTATTCTGAGTGTTTTGTAAGGAATTTCAGTGAGTATTTCTATGAGGTATTCAGAGCAAGAGGGAATGAGAATAAGAGTGACGGCTGCTTATCATTGCAGCAACATTCATTTCATATATATATCATCAGAATAGTAGGGTTTTACAGTCAACATTCTTATCTTAATTTACGAATAAGACAAGGAACACAACCTAACATTGTACTACTCTAATCTAGGCCTTACAACACAGTTTCAATCTCAGCCCTTCATTTGTCTCTTGGACTTTAGCTTGAGAAAACTAGCCGTTAGCCTATTTACACAAATCTAGCTGTTAGCTTCTTGTTTGTGTCGATGAAGACTGTTTGACTTCCAACACTCCCTTTCAAACTGTTTCCTGGCATTCCAAGTAACTCCCTGAGATACACTAATCTTTCCTTAGGCAATGCCTTGGTAAAGATATTTGCAATTTGCTCTTCTGATTTGCAGTAGAGCAGTTCAATCACATTCTCTTGCAAAGCTTCCCTTATGAAATGGTATTTCCTTTTGATGTGCTCTTCTAATGGAAGACAGGATTCCTTGTCATGGCTATGGCAAATGTATTGTCACACATTAGAGGTGTGGCATCTACTTGCATCTCTCCAAAGTCTTTTAGAACAAACCTAAGCCAAATAGCTTGTGAAGTGGTGATAGGAGCATATTTATGCGACTTAGTTAGCTTGTTCTTGTGCATTCATGTTGTTATTTCTTAGTCAATTATGTATTTTAAGCTATTTTCGTGTGTTTGTAGGTCCTAATAACAAAGTTGGCAAGAAAGTGCATTTTGGAGCAATTTTGGGCTGAAATGGATTGCATGCATATGGAGCAAGTTGGATGGACGTTTTTGGTGTTTTAAAAAGGGTTTCAACATATGCAAAAATCTGAATAATGAAGTTGAAGTGTGGAAGTGTGCGGATACATACACTTAAGGAACAATTTGAAAGGAAAAGAAGTGAAAGATGCCATTTGTTGGATTGTTTTACAAGTTGTATTCACATTTCCATCAACTACAAACATAATTGCAAGTTGAAATGATGCATAGCATGTGTGTGAAGTGTCTCGCAGCACGTGCATGTGTGAAGAGGTGTAAAGTGGCAAAAAATTGGTGTTTGCAAGATGAAATGATGAAAAACATGTGTGTGAAAGTTGTCTAACAACTAGTACATGTGGAAGTGAGCTGGAACACAAGGCAAAGAGTGCAGAAAATCAAGTTTGAAGGCACATGGACAACTCCTTTGCCGTGCACTCCATCCATTGTTGCAGCAACCTTTTACCTTTCCTTTGTCTACCATGTGCACAATATTCTTGTCCACTCCTTGCACTCAATTGCTACACCATTCATTGTTCCCTCCATCATTTCAGATTTCATGCATCATTTCATCACTTTAACCTCCACTCCTTGCACTCATTGATTCACCACTTACTCACGTTTCCACCCATGCCATGCATAATCACCCTTGTCCCCTTCATGCACCAGATTTCTTGCACTCATTTCATGCACCATTACACTCATTACCCCTCCTTGCCATGCACCACCCTTGTCTCTTTCATTATTTCTGATTTCATGCACCAATACATTGAATCATTGCACTCAATTGCTGCACACTTCTTGTCCCCTTCACCCATCAGATTTCATACTACTTTTACCTCCACTACATGCACTCATTGATGCACCATCCACCACCTTTGGACTTCCATGCTGTGCATCATGACTCTTGCTGCACCTTTGACTCATTTCTGCACCATTCCACCTCCATTTCCTTTCTCTACCATGTGCACAATCATTCCTATTCCCTACTTGCATTCATACCTGTAACACCACTCCATTTTACCCCCATGCTTTGCATCATCACTTCATTTTCACCCTTGAATCATTGCACACACCACCAATCTCCCCTCTTTGCCGTGCACTTCCTCTATAAAAGGAAGTGTGTGGCAGCCATAGAGTTTAGTTTTTACTTGATCATTCATCCCCATTTCAATACAACCTTCATCCAAACACATCCATTCATCTTCACATCCATTCCTCCATACAAACAAACCTTCAAACACTCACTAACACCTTGTGCCGTAGCAAAGGAAGGGAAGGAAAGTGCTTGGCTGTGCTTGCTGTCCAACTTGGATCGTTGGAGCGTTTAGGTGTTTTTTTTCTTTTGTTTCCAATATTTAATTCATTTTCTTTCGTTTTGTTATGAACATAAGTGGCTAAACCCCTCTTAGCTAGGGGTGATTTCAAAGCCATGATTATGTGTGTAATATGATTTGATAAATTCTAGTTATGAACTCTGGAATCGTGAATGCAATTGGCTTAACTATTTGATTGATAACTTATTTGTATTTGTTGATTAAGGGTCGACACTTAATTGGCATGCATAAATCCGATGCTAGAATATAAGAAAGTTTCACATAATCGTTACAAACTTATATTCATAAGTAGTGAAGGTTGTTTATAAACGATCGCGTTAAATTTAATTCTAGCATGAGTGACATGATGTTATAGTTGCAAGTGCTTTGTCAATGCTTATGATTTTCATTAAACGTAATGATCTTTAATTGTATCTCTATTATGATGTCATGTAGGGAACTTTTGAAGAATGTTTTGGTTTGTCGAATGATGTCATCCAATCCAATAAAACAAGGAAAATCTGAGGGTTAACTAGTGATGTCACAGTTAATTTGGGGCATTGTCGTTCATAATTCAATGAAGTAGTAACTAGAAATTGAGTTGTTTGCATACATGTCATGTGTGGAGAAAAAGCCTCTAGCTAACCCATCCATCATCTTATTTCTCAAATTCGTTTTACAATCTGTCTATTTTTTCATACTTGTTTGTTTGTTTCAACTTCATCCAAATCAAAATCCCCCTTTTAGTTTCTTGTTTCAAAGTGTTTCAAATCTGTTTTGTTTGTGTTTTTTATTGTTTTAGGTGAAGCCAAAACCTAATTTTCGTTCAAAGTTGTGTTTAGAGTCAGAAACTGCCTAACAAGTGATTTTAGGCAGTTTTGAGTGTTTTAAAGTTGTTTTAAGTCTTTTGAACCTGTTTTGAGTCCCTTGAGTTTATTCAAACGTTTTTAACTTTGTTTTTATGTTTTTGAGTCAGTTTAGAGGTTATTAGCAAGCCTTCCTAATCCCCGGTCCAGAATGATCCCTACTTATACATATACTACAATTGTCAAAAGAAGGTTTAATTTGTGTGTTAAGTTAATTTTTGCATCAAGTGGCTTCTGCAACTGATACATATTCAACTTCTGCAGTGGACAAAGCAACACTTTGCTGCTTCACTGAAGCCCAGGAGAAAATCCCTGAACCAAGAGTGAAAGCATACCCTGAGGTGCTTCTTATATCATCATCATTACCACCCCAATCATCGTCATAGAATCCAACTAGAATGGCAGCCTCACCTTTGTCATACTTGATACCATAATCAATGGTTTCTGCAATGTATCTGAGTACCCTTTTGGCTATTCCCATATGAATTTTAGTTGGATTATGCATGAACCTAGAGAGTAAACTTGCTGCAAATATCACATTAGGTCTAGTGGCAGTTAGGTAGAAGAAACTTCCAACGATTTTCCTGTAAAGATTGGAGTCTGCAAGTTCTGTTCCATCATCTTTGATGAGTTTCTCATTTGAGATCAGTAGTGTAGCTACTGATTTGCAACCTTCAAGACCAAACTTGTCTAATAAGGTCTGAGCATATTTCTTTTGGTGGATAAATATCCCTTCAATTCCCTGGACAACTCCAATTCGAAGAAAATGATATAATAACCCAAGTTTGATATTTCATACTTCTGCATCATGTCTTCTTTGAACTCTTTCATCATATTTTCATTGTTGCCAGTGAATACTACATTATCAACATAGATTGCAAGTATGAGGATATCAGTTCCATTCTCTCATTTCACATATACAGTAGCTTCACTAAGACTTTTCTTGAATCCTCTCTATGAGAAGTAAGTGTCAATCTCACTGTACCAAGCTCTTGGAGCTTACTTGAGCCCATATAGTGCTTTTCTTAACCTGTAAACCTTGTTTTCTTCATTTTTGACTTCAAAGCCTTGAGGTTGATCAACATAAACTTCCTCATCAAGTACACCATTCAAAAATGCATATTTGACATCAAGTTGTTATAGGTTCCACCCCTTTCGTGTAGCAAGAGCAATCAAAGTTCTAATGGTGTCTAGTCTAGCTACTGTAGCAAAGGTCTCATTGAAATCAACTCCTGGTTGTTGAGAGTAGCCCTTTGCCACCAATCTTGGTTTGTTTTTCTGCACTGTGCCATCCAAGTTAAGTTTAGCCTTATACACCCATTTGACACCTATCACAGGCTTGTCACTAGGTCTATTGACTATTTCCCAAGTGGAGTTTTTCTCAATCATTGCCATTTCATCTTCCATAGCTTTCTTCCAAGCTATATGGCCCTCAGCTTCTTCAAAGTTCTCAAGCTCCACTATGCATAAATTGCACATTGCATATATCTCACTCAAGCTCTTCAGTTTCACAGGAGTAGAGCTAGGAGTGGAGCTTTGGGAGATAGAATTTTGTGTATTTTAGGAACTTTCACTCTGAGATTAAGGTGAAGCATGCTGAGGTGATTGCTGCAACTGAAATTGTTGAGATTGATTTGGTGAGTGAGCAGAGATTTGAGTTTGTGAGTCCACTCCATTTCTTGTTCCACCAATTGTCATTGGTATATATATCTCAACTTCTACACCATCTTCCTTATTCCACTTTGTGTCTTCATTGAAGACCACATCCCTTGAGATGTTGATTTTTTATGTTTTCAGGTTGAACAGTCTATACCCCTTTTCACAGTTACCATACCGTACAAAAATACACCTATTGCTAGTTTCTTGCAGTTTGTGTCTTAACTGTAATGGTATTAGTGCATAACATACTAAGCCAAACACCTTTATATGTTTCACACCTGGTTTCCTTCCACTAAAGGCTTCAAATGGAGTCTTATTCTCCAAGGAACTTGTTGGGCATCTATTTAACAAATAGACAACTGTATTCATAGCTTCTCCCCAAAATTGATAAGGAATCCCTTTCTCATGGAGCATGAACTTCGCCATTTCAATTATGGTTCT